AGATCAAACAAAGACGCACGCGCGCGCCTGTTCATATTCTGTATCGATTCTAAACGCGTTCGTTTGTCAACTTCAGCTTGCAAGGGATTGCAATATACAAGGCCATCTCTCCAGCCGTGAGTCTGTCATGCTCTGCTCACCCCAATCGCTCATTTCGCTCAACTCTGAACAAAGGCCGAAATGTTACCCTCTTAGAAATTCTCACGTTCGAGACACGCCGCGAGTGAAGGATGTTGAGCTTTTTTCTGTAATTGTGCTTACCCACATACGTAAACACGCCTGCAGACGAGATACACAGCGACGGACATCTTTCGAACCCAGTCAGAAAATCTTGCGGGGTGGTGGCGGTGCGTCAAAATCAGTTCTCGTGATGTCGAAGCAGTGAAAAGATGAATGTCAGTTCAAATTTGGATTTTTTGAATGGTTTTATGAGGACCGGTGCGTTATGCCGCCAAAAGCTCCCTTCATACACAAAGACGAAGAACACCGTACAGCCTTTCAACAGACTCTTTGAGCAAGGCCAGCACCACTGTCGGCTGCCTTCGCCTCCGTAGTGCCAATGTTTACACATTGCAGCAGGTACATCGGTAAGGCCGAGTGGGAATTGGGGGGAGGCCCAGCAGTGCTTGTTCCAAAAATTCGTCACTGTTACGGGTCGTGAACGGGAATCAAACTCGTAGTGCATTGCGTGAACCAACGACACTGCCACTCCCCCACAATGTATACACAGGCGCTTGGCTACGTAAGGTGTGAAAGAAGTTCGACGTACATACAGTCTCTGTTCTCCTACAACGCGTGTTTTCATAACGCGAATTGGATGAATATATTAGGGAACATTTTTTTTCTAACGCAGATGCGAAATGGGTGGAACGCGTTTGAGTGACCAAGCGGTCGTACGTCTGCCTCGGTGTAGCATCGCACAAGGAATTGGGATGCTGCTGGATGCTTCTAGATGCTACCCACGGCGCCTCGGCCTTTGTTCAGCCTGCGCTACGCATCTCACGTGTTATCGCGGACTACATTACCCTACATTATTTATTATAACGCCATTTTTCCAAAACGCCGCGTTATAGGACAGATTGTACAGGCGTTTACATACACTCACTCAATAATACGTATATGGCACATTAGGAAGGGACCTCTTTTAATTATGTCCTTGTACAGCAAGGGAGTAAAGTGTGGTTCTGGGAAATTCCTGATGTGCTGTGCAGTGCATCAATGCATGTGTGTCAGAGGTCGCAATCGGGTACCCGATACCCGTGCCCGGCCGGGTAGCTGGGTATCGGGTAAGGTACCCGTTTGCGACCCTGGTGCGGCCAGGTACGGGTACGGAATCAAAACCCGTTTGCGACCTCTGATGTGTGTACAGCAGCATGTGATGACTGAGTTGGGCCTGTAGGTGGCTGGCAGGGTTAATGATTAATCGGACTTGGACACCAGCCACGTGGTTAATGGCGACTCGGAGGAATTGCTGTGTTTGACACGTGCTGGTGCATTTTACAGAGTGATGGTGCTGTTCTTCACAAGATTGCTATTAACCACAATAAATGTGTCTGCCCTCGATTTGGAGCACCTGCCCACGTCCTTCATTTCGAGTGTGCACACGTACCAACACAAGCGCGCACACACGCGCACACGCACACACGGATACAACAAGTGCCATTATCCGGTGTGTTACCTCCTGCTCCGAGTCCATGAGCTTCTGCTGCTTCTCCTTGACCTTCATGAGGAACACCTGCTCCATTTCCTTCTCCATCTTATGCATCCGGAGTTTGTGTTCGTGCTTCTCCTCCTCCATCTGGGCCATGGGGCTCCTGCAAGCGCCCAGAGAGGTCCAGCGATAACGTACGCGGCGCAAGGGTGCACGATCTGCGCATGTCACCCTCACACAAAGACTAAGACCCCCCCCACTATAGCTTTTAACAGACTGTTGGGGCAAGTGCTCTTAGCGATCTATGAAGGCACACGAAGGAGGCGGGTGGCCAGCACCACGCCCGACTGCCTTTTTTCTCTCTAGTGCCGATGTTTACACATCACACCAGGTAGTAATTGAGGCCAGAGTCGGACCTAGGGGAGGTTCAGATATTCATCACTGGGTGTTGACCGTGAGCAGGAATCGAACTCGGGTCTTCGGGTTTGTAGCGCAGCGCGCTAACTGCTACACTGCCGCTCCCCACACACACACACGTACACACACACACACGTACACACACACACGTACACACCGTGTACAAACGCTCGTACACCAGCAGGCACTCTGGCCACCACTAGCGTAGCCATGGGGGTGGTTTCCAATGGACAAATGGCCCTTAAGGCAGACAGCCCAAAAAAAACGAGCGGGTCTCATGTTTACAGACATGCACTGAGGCCGCGTGGAGGGCCGTTTCCACATTGGTTGGAAGCTTCGTTTAGAGATGACAAAAGACGTATATCTGGACGCGAGTGATCTCACTGCAATCACAGTGTCTTGGAAGGTATGGGAGTAACACGGCAGGTACAATATGAGCGTGTGTCCAACTGTAACTTTAACCTATTTGTTGTTGTTGTTAAGACATTTTTTTTACTTCTCGTGGACAGCCAAGAACTCATTCTACGTAAGGCTGGATATTTGCTTCCCGCGTTTTGGAGGCCTGTTGCTCAGAGTGCACCAGTTTTGAAGTGGCTGATGATTAATTGGCTATTTAATAATCGATTATTAATCTTAACCGAGTACACAAATTAATCCGAAGCGTCGTCGATCAGAATGTTGACAGCAACATAAATAATAACTCCTTCCCGTGTCTTCCCGCATAAAAAAACACACACGAGCATTTTTTACAAAACTCTTCGGCCGCACGGCCTTCGTGGAGAGCATCGTATCAGCAGCATTGGTTCAATACAAGCAAGCTCTGGGCAAGTTTCCATACTCAGTGTCTCATCAGCAGTCAGGACTGCGAGAACCAATGCTGGTGAACTGCCCAATGTCCATAAGACAAGGGACCCTTGCCTATTTAATTAGATTTATTTAATAGAATTTGCACGACATTTTATATATATTGCAGGTTCGATTGTTGTTGATCGGGGTTATTATACAGTCGAATGTGATCGACATTTGAAAGCAAATGAACATGATCACATACACTTGAATCCTAACACAAACAAAGACAAAGGGAAATATGTCCCGTATAGCCTTCACAGACTGTTGGGGAAAGAGTTGTTAGCGAGCACCGATAAAGGCCGGCACGGCACACGAGGGGGTGGGTGCCCAGTACAACGCCCGACCGCCTTTGTCTCCCTCGTGGCAGTATTTACACACCGCACCAGGTACTCATTTGAGGCCGTGCCAACCTGGGGGGAGGGCCCAGGACGGGTTCACATATTCGCCACTCTTATTGTTTGTTGAGCGGGAATTGAACTTGGGTCGCAGAGTTCATAGCGCAGCGCGCTAACCGCCACCCCCTCCACACACACACACCGCCAAGCACACTCCAAGCCAGCCGCACACAGGCAACACACACTCAAAGCCACAAAAGTGGTGGCGGCACACAAGAGTAGGTGCAATCAAACAAAGCACGTCGTCTTTGATTGCAGCCGTCGTAGTGAAGTCTCACGAGGTGGAGAGAAAGACGGAATAAGAAAAAAACATTTGAGTCCTTCAGGAGGACAAAATCATTGATTACCAGCCCAGGAAATCACACTGGAAGAGAAAAACCCCAGGGACTGTACACAAGAGGAAGCGGTGAAAACGTTCCCGCCATGGAACGTTTAAAAGCGCGACGGTCAAATGTGAACCCATTTATTTTGCATATATTCATGTATCTTTAATTTCTTTTGCACTGTACGTAGCCAACTGTGCTACTTGGAGGTGCGGGGGGAAGACAACAAATTAAACATAAAATGCAGTTATAAAGAAATGAGTTCTCAATTAGTTTTTTCAATTTTGCTTTTCAGTAGAGTCAACGATAATATCAATGTGCGGCGATTTGGTGCAATTAATAGAACAAGGGCGGTGGAGCGGTGGCACGGCAGTTAGCGCATTGCGGTACGACTCCGGCGAGGTAAGTTCCAATTCCCGGCCATGGTTAACATCAGTGGCGAGTGATATATGAACTTGTCCTGGGCCTCCCCCCATGCTCTACACCAAACCGGCATGGTGAAGTATATTCAAACCTCTGACTAACAGGGAATGGGGAGCTGAGGTCTTTGGCTCTTCATTATTGTTTAAGACGTGCACAAACTTCACACAGTCTCATTAAACTTTATTTTTATGACCACCACCCCCTGCCTCGTTCATTCAGCTAATTGGGACGCAACTTCTCCATCGTTATGAGGCATTCTCAATCCACTTCTGGCTTTCAGGATCCATGTACAACAGCTGGGAAAATTCATAATATAGGTTTTTGGGTCAGATCGCGTTATTTATAAATGTGTTGTAACCCTCCACCACCCGACACGGCCAAACAGTAAAAAATGTGTCACGTTTTCAAAGGACAAATTAATTGACTTAATGTTTCATGTTTCTGTGTTGGAAAAATGTTCCATTCGACTTCACATTAACTGGGACCTTATTCGTCTGGTTTTCCCCAGTGCCCATTTGTAAAGAACACCAAAGCCTGCTTTAAACCGAGATGCACTTGGCTACATCTGTTTGAGTCTCCGAGCGCTAAAACCGTGACCCGAGTCCTCCCAGGGGTTAATGTTAGTCGTGGTAATGTTAGGTGAAGTTTTAACATCACATGCAGTTCCTGGAGTGACCTTTCAAAATTACGGTAATCACGAAAGACACAGGGTGCCAGCGCCATGGCCCTTGGGCGCTGCTCTGGCACATCGCTGGCAAGTGGTAACTGAACCTGGCCAGGGCTTCCTTTGGGTAAACTCAGCCTTAAACGAGTACCCGGTAGGGTCTGTAGACATCGGCAAAAAGGCGGAGTCAAGACGTGAGTGACTGGGCATAGTGCTGGCTAGAGTATTTCTCTTTTATGCCATGCCAGCAGCCTGAGATACTCTCTGCCAGCACTTGCTCGTACGGTCTTGCACAGCCAAAAGGGGAGATCGTGCGTTTAGTTTTTGTTCCAAACGTCGGCAACACGTTTAGCCTGTCATTACCATAACTCTTGAAAGGTACCACACATTAGGAGAGATAATGATTCCTTGTGGTTTCCCAAGAAGGTTAATTTGTAAGAAATCCAGTGTTAAACGGTGTCAGTGGCATTAAAAAAAAAATACATTTCACACTTACATTCCTGCAATGCCTTCCCCTCTATAAAACACAAAAGGTGACACACAATGCTTGTTGTGGTTAAACTCCAAACACACAAGTCACATTAATAACCCACGCGCCGTTATACGAAACGAGCTAGGTTAGTTGTTGCGACGTTCGGCTGTTCGTGGCAAACAGCGCTGCTTGCACGTTCTGCATTCTCAAAGCTGTCGGAAACATCACCCCGTCGGGTTAATTCCATGGCGAAATCAAGCAAAGATTATGGTGGCATTTTACGCGACGTTTGATCGGTATTGCTCGCTCATCGTCATCATCACCACCACGTCATGCCCATCGTATCAACGCAGGGCAGACCCAATGATGACCACGTGTGGGCCAGAGGTCCCTTGCACAGCTCAGCAATTGTGTTTAAATCGTCAGCTGTGCGCGGGCCCTCTCATAAAACTATATATATTTTTATTTTACCAGCTCTTTAGATAGCATGTTTCTAAATGTAGAGAGAAAAACCGGAGGACCCGGAGAAAAATTAACACGACCATGAGGAGAACATGCAAACTCCAAATATAATGGAGTTGGGTCGGGATCGAACCCACGACCTCCTGCATACCAGGCGAGGTAGTTATAACATCTCACCGCCATAGCTCTGGAACAGATGAGACATTGTCTTCTGGAAATAATTATTCGAAATCAGGTTTGGTCAAATATCTACTGGACTGATCCGGTATGGAATGACCCCATTGTTAAACACACGATTCAATCAACGATTATATTATTCAATGCACATTAAAACGCTGCTGCTTGTCAATGGGAGGGGGTTATTTTTCAGCAAGGTATAGCAGCATGCCGTGCATTAAATACTCTTGTGACTCTTGTCGGAACAACATGCGGCCACTGAGAGAGAAAATAACCGTCAACAAATGCATCGCGCAGATCGCCGCATTTAAAATAATTGTAAAGATGTCGTAAGACTGTAGCAGGTGACTATCTGAAGCGGGTCAGGTGAGCCTTGGAGGGTAGGTAAGACCAAAGGACAGGTGGGATGAAACAGCAGATGAGGCGAGGGAATGGGTAGTGAAGGTGACGACATCGAAGGTGAAGGCGAGGATGATCGGCAGGTCGTTGTGAGGCTGTTGAGCAATTTGGGCGGAGCGGTGGTGCAGCAGTTGGGTGAGACGAGGGCGAGTGAGAGTGAGTTGGCGGTGGGCGAAGAGAGACACTGAGTAAGCAGGGCAACACGGAGGGGCAGGGGCCGGCAACGCGACGCGAGAGCACCCACTTGCTGAGCTGCCCCTTGGAGCGGTTGTTGTCGACGCCGTTGCAGGCGAGCGCGGCCAACTTGCGGCTGCGGAAGTTCTCGTAGTGGACGTTGTTGGTCACGTCCTTGAGGTCCTGCATGTGCGTCCTAGTGGCAGGGACGCGGTCGGGTGTGGGATGGCAAACAATGAGGCGCGACAAACCGGCAGCCGCCACAGCGAACAAGCGTCACGCTCAACGTCACTCAGAACAGACTATACACACTCTTTGATTCTTTCGGTAAAGTCACGTATAAAGATAAAATAATAAATTAAATAATTATTATTTTATCTTTATACGTGACTTTACCGAAAGAACCAAAGAGTAATTCCTGCAGTCACGAAAGCTCCAAATTTAAGACTATACACAATTACGCAAACAGTATAAACGAGAGGACGTAATACAAATGCAACACAAGTCATTGCAAACAAGACAAAATACACCACGCGACATCGTCTCGGTTCATCATGGTGAGAGATTCTTATCGTTGCGAGCCTAAACCTCGGCAAGCGTTAGGCGGTGATTGTCACGCGATTAACATTTTGCAGTGGTTTAACTTTGGAGAAATTGGCCTCTGCCATGGGAACGTGGAAATTCCATCACTGGCTCAGTGCCGCCAATGGAGATGAAAAAGAGCTTTATAGCTCATCGGATTCCTCCAGCATAAATACATATTCTGGTTTTCTATAGGAACCATAGCTTCCTGCTACACGCAATGCGCTCCTTATAATGAAAGCCAAATATATTTCAGTGCAGGACCCTCCTGTAAGAGAGAACAATAATCTAGATTTGTTTATTAAACACAAGGGTAATATCTACACTGCATCGCCAAGACTTACCTAATCAGCATGTTGCGCAGGAGTGTGAAGTCGCAATGATCCGCACTCTCCACTGTTCAGGAATAAAGGCACAGCAGAGAACGGCATATACACAATCCTGGCCAGCTTCACGATGAGTACATTATGGGTTCATGGCGAGGTTTAGGGCAATGTCCAAGACTGCACCTTTATTGGCGACACTGCTGACCGCCGACCGACCCGAGAGACTAATCCCCCAATTGGTCAACGTCGGTCACTGCGCACAAACCGGTTCGGTGGCGTAGAGCGAGGTCGGCATGGACCTCTGGTGTACGAAATAAAATGTCCCCACACCCCACCGCCCACCCTCCCCCCCCCCGCACAATTCCCCATCTTGGTGGCTCCAGCAGTTGTGCCTCCCCGGCCAGTGCTTCCTGGTGTGGTTGCACTGCCTGCACACTCGCCACTGCACTGGCAAACAGAGGTTGTTGTTTTTTTATTATCTCTGTAATCGGTATCTATATATCTTAGCACCTGTTTTATTCCCAGAAAGGGTGAAGCCCATTCTTATTTTTATCCCCCCCCCCCCCCCCCCCCCCATCGGAGGTTATATTTTTCGCAATTCGGCGCAGCTGTAACTCTGGCAACCGTCGCACAAATCCAGGGGTCACGACCGACGTGCATGTTTGATGCTCTGCCGACACGCCCACACACGCACGCACGCGTTCCCGTGTACGCACGCACGCGCGCATCCCCACACACCGTACCTTCCACGACGCCCCACGGGTACTGGCGGCCCCGCACGCGCTTCCCGTTCACCTCCAGCACCGTGTTGCTCCCCACCACCGCCAGCGGGATGTTGTCCTGCCGTAATCGACAGGGGCGTCGGTTAAATTGCATAAGCGAGCTTTGCCTCCGACCGCTCTGGGGCGTGCCGGGATCACGTCGGGTTCTGTTCGTCCCTGCGGCGGCCTCTTATGAGAGTGTACAACTGTGCAAGCGGGCCAAGAGTACGCGGAAGGCACATTTGTTAAAGAGTTAATAAATGTGCCCTGGTACAATGAGTTAACCCCACTTGTACCAGGGCCGATCCGGGAACCAATCCTAACATCACGGTGTCAACGATAACAAGACGTTCATGCTGTGACCTCACTTATCTTAAATGACAAACCGTGTTGCTTATCTCTCTACAATGTCGATAACAATCTTCCCTTAACACAAGCCCTTTTTCAATCCACTGCTCGATTAAGGCATCCCTTATGCTGTGTCCATCCTGGGGGTGTGTTTTACCGTGTTTCACCAGGCTAGCCGGTGTGGGTTGGTGAATAGAGTGGCCAAGACCGGTTCGTTTCGCCTCATATCATGAGCGAGCAATGTTAGCCATGGCTGGAAATTTTACTTTGGTTGCCGGGTTCAAAGGGCAAAGTGCGAACCACTGCAACCTTTCTCCTTCCACGAAACTTTATTTAAGACAAAGTTTCTAAAACAACCCACTTGTATTTCTTTAGAGCTGCTGTTTGCGTTTAGTTTGTTGCCCTTCCCACCCGCACCCCCGATAAGCACGGTTGGCTACGTACGGTGCGGACGAAGCTCAACATAAATACGTACATACTTAGACCACCACCTCCCGAAGCTCGCCTATATTTCTTCCTTCTAAACGCCAGGCCACAGCCGGTTTGGGAAAGTAGTCATGGGCATTAGGGTGGCAGGATGGGCATGGGCAGAGAACAAAGTAGGGGCCAAGGCCATGCAGCCTCATTCACATATCATTTGCATACTGGCTGTGACCGTGGGGATGGAACGGGAAAGGTGTGGGGTCACAAACTCAGTGATCGCGTGGACGGGGGCGAGCGGCGTCTGCGTAAAGGTTGGGGGGGCGAGCACGCAACGGCCCGGGGCGGCGAACGCTCACGGGCGATTGCTCCACCCCGTCGGCGGTGCGTTAAAATATTCAACACTTTCAAGGAATTAAGGGTGCGTTAAGTTTTTTATCCTTGAAAAAAATAAGTATCTCATGCAGCACTGATGTACTGGTTGATGATTAGTGCACCCGAGTGTTAAACATTTAGCAGGTCGGACAAGGAAGGAAAAATAAGTGTGCGCATATATTATTTAGGAATCGAGCAACGGGCGATAATACTGTTCGTGAAAATTACTCCGGCTGCCTCGTCCGGCCGGGCGACGCTGTGGCGAGAGACCGTGTGACTCATCCCTGTTGGTTCAATACAATTGCCACCACTTTGTGGGAAATGAACGATGATTGGCTTGGCGAGAGACAAAGGGAAATATCTCCCGTATAGCCTTCACAGACTGATGGGGAAAGTGCTGTTAGCGAGCACCTATAAAAGCCGGCACGGCGCACTAGGGGATGAATGGCCAACATCACGCCCGGCCGCCTTTGTCTCCCCAGTGAGCGGGACTCAGGTCGGCGGGGTTGTAGCACGGCGTGCTAAACGCTACACTACCGCTACCCACACCACATGCCCTCTCTCAAGAGGTGGATATAGGTAGGGGGAGGGTGGAGGGGTGGGGTGCAGTCTCCGAATTTCAAACAATTTCATTACATGCAACATTGAATGATCTTCTCTGGTGATTGTGAATAAAATACCAATTTCCAGGGTCTCAATGGTGGGGGTAATCTCCCCATCGCCACCCCCCCCCGACCCTGGATCTGCCACAGGCCCCCTCTCTCACCTGCTTATTAAACGACGACTCAAACACGAGGTTAAAAAGCGACAAGCGTGGATAAATACCTTCACTTTCTTGGCCAGCTTCTCGTCGTCATCTTCCACATCGGGAAACTCGTAGATTTTGATTTTGTGTTCCACAATTTCTTTCATGATCTGCAAACAAAAATAAAAACAAACACCCCCCAGCATAACGAGAGTACGATTAACATCATATCAGATTCTTCACACATCTTCCTAAATCTGATTTTCTTTCACAAAATGTAGGGCATTCATTTGTTAAAATATGACACAGTGTGACACTTCCTATTAAAACAAGTTTTAGTTTTAATAGCAACTAGCAGGAAGACAACAGATGACCAAAATAATGACTTGATAGTAGAAGTTTTTTGGGTAAGATTTAACCCAAAAAACCTCTACTATGGATATTGGTCGCGAAAGCCCACGTGTTATAATGACTTGACCCTGTCAGAGAAATGTGGAATTTACACCACCGGCTCAGAGCTGTACATACGAGGCGAGTGCCTTCCACACACTTGTTTAAATGTGAACCTCAAGTGCATATTTGTATGGCAAATACAGCCCTGTGTAGTTTAATTTTTTTTTACTATCGTAAATGTCTGGTGCGCCAGGCAAGGCATGACGATCGAGACATTCGGAACAAAGCTGGCGGCGGCCGCAGAAAAATAACTGGAAACAAACACGAGTCATCAGTTTCTGATTTAAACACGTTCGGAAAATTTTTAAAGAGCGATTTTGGAACTTTTCCATGAAGCAGAGTTGATATTACTTGATGCCAAGTGTGGCACCATACTGGCAGGTACAGCACGGAGTTGATGTCATATTAGTTACATTACTTCAGGCTTTCTAGATCCATCCGAAATTAACCATTTTATTGCACCGTGCAAAACATCATAGAGGCCAGATTTTTCAAATTTTCCTGATTAATCCCAATATCAGCGATAAACCCCAAAGACATCTCCGATTAGCACGGTTGGCTATGTACGGTGCAAAAGAAGTTCAACATACGTAAATATACACACTCCGCATCCGTGCTGGGGGTTACACATTGTGATGTCAAAGAAAGCTTCCGTGGGTGGCCGAGAGCCGGAATTCGAACCAAAATGTCTCGGCGGTGCCCCGTGCCTGACGGCCAATCCTCACCGTCTTCTTGAACTGCTGGCACTCCTCGGTTGTGAGCGAGTCCGCCTTGGCGATGAGCGGGATGATGTTCACCTTGTCATGCAGTCGCTTCATGAACTCAATATCCAGGGGCTTCAGCCTGCACACGGCAGAGGCGAATACATGGAAGGTGAATTGCTTGCGAGCGCCCATTCCGACAGATCAACCTCATTAATCCACTGCTGGATAAATGCCTCCACATCCCCCCACAAAACCATCGCCATCTCGCACGGCAATGCGACGTAGCGATCCATTTAGAAACAGCAGATGGGCTGGTTTCTTTACAATTACGACTTCAGCTGCTATAAATGTGCTACACCAGTTTCTGCAAATTATGAAAAAAAAATGTTTAACGCCGTGAAAAATCCTGAAAGCAAAATAGGACCGTTGGAGTGTGATGAAAAACAGGGCTTTATTGCGGATTTACGAATAAACAAAAGTCTGGACAAATTACCTCTCGCAGTTCTCAACATTAAATGGTCTAGTGGCTTGGCAGCCGATCAGCACCGAGTGGGCATACTGACTTCCATCGCCGCACTCTTGGCATTTCCTGGCAGTCGTTGCCAAAGTGCACAGCTCGTTGTATGCACGTATATATATGTTGAACATCTTTCGCACTGTACGTAGCCAACCGCGCTGATCATAGGTACGGAGGAAGGAAAACAAACCAAACACAAAAGCAGTTCTAAAGAACGGAGTATTCAATCTTGATTGAAAAGTTCAGAGCTCCAGTGGCTCCCTAATATTTCAAGGAAGAGCATTCCAGACAGGCCCAGAAGCACATTTGAAACGGAGGTTTTTGGGTTAGATTGTGTAAATATAAATGTTTTATTAAACCCGCCACCACCCGGCACAGCCAATAAGGTTTGTCACGTAAACAAAACATGCCAATTCGTTACTATTTGAGCACACTGGTGTGTTGGATAGTAAACCCACGATTTCTACAATCACGAAAGCCTACGTGTGAAATGCACATCTGAAAGCACGCGATGTGGTGACCGTCTTTGTTCGATGGCTAGCCAAAAGCCACCGCTGCGAAGATGATGACCGGAGTTCACGTGATGGTTTATGCTCGCTGTGAAGTCCACGTCAAGAACCTACAAGTGCCCACTACGCCTAAAGTCTTACTCCGATGTTGCCCAAGTAAAAACTCACTCCAGGCTGTGCAAGTGGCTTTGATTCGGGTGGCTTTGATCGATCCCTGATGCAAGCTACGGCGTATGTATCAGAAACTTGGACACACCGACAAAGAAAATGGAACGGCTCAGAAAATGGGCAAAGAAGCACCGACAGACGGATGGTCGGAATTACGCAGCTTGACAAGGGGAGCTCATGAATCCGAATAACAAATGCAAAGCAGGCATCCCACTGACTGACACATTGTGAGCAGGGAAGGATGAGACTGGGGATGTAATGGCAGTCGAAGGAGAGAACACACCCAAGGAGGAGCACCACAACAGAAGCAGCCTGGAGACTAGCTCATCCAGAGGAATGAGATACATCACAGCAATAGCATCGGTGCGCGTACAGATCTTCGTCTAGCAGTGTATAGAAAAGATACGATTATTAAAATGATCATTATCATTTAAAATGGGATTTACAAGCCACTGATGCTCACAAATGCTGTATTTTTTCTTAATCCCAAGGCCACTGCAGTGCCTTGGGCACGCACACTTCACAGGCTGTAAACACTCCTCGCGCACCCGTGGAACATTTATTCACACGAGGAACAAACGTGCTTGCGTAGGCTTGTTTGCCTACATCTGGGACAAGCACCTTTATGGAGCTAAACCGACATCACGAGCCGCAGGCAGGCGAACTAATTGCCAATATTAAATGGCATTCTGTACTTTCCCTCTTCTTTACATCTTGAGGTCATACGTGTACACAGTACATCGTGAACACGATGTGTTGGGAACAGAGGTTGCTTTAAAATACCTCTGCGCCTAGATTTGTGAGTGCCTTGTGTGATGTCAAAATTGCCAAGCTGAGATACCTGAGGTACCAAGGAACGGTTCAGATATCACTCACAACTGATGTTCGCCGTGGCTGGGAATCGAAAAACTAAACTAAAAGTTAACTATATTCTTTGGGTCTTTCGGTAAAGTCACGTAGATATTTTCTTTGAACCTATCTACGTGACTTTACCGAAAGGCCCCAAAGAATATGAATTCCTGCAGCCACGAAAGCTTTAAGTCAAGATAAAGTTAACTATTTTTTATGTTACCAGATAAGGCCCACTGAGCAGCCTGGCCACAAACAATAGCTCAACGAAGTCGCTTAACGCGTGGAAATTTATCGTAGCCAAATACTCTAAACTCATGTTTCTAATTGTGGAGGGAAACCGGGAGGACCTGGAAAAAAATCCACATGACCATGGGGAGAGACATGCAAAAAAACTCCAAATATACAGCGGCAGGCGTCAGGGTCGAGATCGAACTCACGACCTCCTCCATACCAGGCGAGGGAGTCAACATCTCCTAGCCACCGTATCGCCTCTTCACAGGACGTGAGCACACTCCTCGAACTCGGGTAAACGGGTTCATAGCGCAGTGCGCTAACCACGGCGCCACCAGTCTATCCCCGCTATCATTGTGAGTGGGATATAAATGTATTTTGAAATTCCAAACCAATTTTTTTTTATTCAACATCTCATTGGATTAATCTTCGCAACACGAGGCCACGGTGTAAACTATCCAACACCTCTCCCTCTAGGGGGCGACAGGGCATGTTGGTACGAATGTGGTTCCGAGTGGCTCAAGATATAAAGTACAAAAGCGGAAAATGCCTGGGCGTAAGGACTGACGCAACGCAGCAGATCAGCGCTATTTATAAAAGTCAAGTCACAGCGTATCTGTGCTCAAGTGCACATGGGGACGTGTTGATCTGTGACTCGATTACAGAAATTCCAGTCACTTTTCATCGCGCAGCATGAAAGCCACTGCATCACTGCTGCCCCGAAATAGTAGGAGCCATAATACTCCTCCCTACATATTTGGACGCATATATAGGATGGACAACAGGAAAATTAAAAGTGTGTTGTTTGGAAGGATGGAAGGCACCGGAAAGAGAGTAAGACCTAACAGAGTGTGGCTTGACAATTATACAAGAGATTGGTGCAAGAAATACGTTGCCACGACTTTAGCATATTGGCACTAGACAGAGGAAAGTGGAAACAAGTTACGAAATGTGCGGTGGACACCTACGGGACTATCTACCCATGGACCGTGATGATACTCCCCCAACAAAGTGGTCTCTATCTAACCAACCATTCAGGGATGATGCACACTGGGAATGAACGGTAGTAATTAAGACAACTGGGTGGGGCCAAGTGATCAGGAAGTAGTGAGGATCAAAAACTGTCTCTAAAGTGGACAATACAGTGCCCGCGACAAAATTAGCAAGAGTGGTCAAATATTTGCACCACAGCGATGGCCTACATTCTCATTTTGTAGTTAAGAATAAAACTCTTTATACCGATTCTTTTAGGCACACTTTTTTAATATCCCGTTATTCATTTGTATATCCCTTTGTTGACCCATTGCAGGATAAAGGTCATGTGGGGGGGTTGTTTGACTGGTCACCAATGGCCGGTTTAGGGTGTGGCCCCAGCAAAGTCTCCGATATCACTCGCCACTGATGTTAGCCGTGGCTGGAACTGGATCTGTCAAGAGGTTAACCCTTTCCCAATCCGATGACGTGCGTCTACGTCATCAGTTTTTAGAAAAAATACAATAACTTTATCGGTACCGAGGCTCCCACAAGGCCATGTGGCAGAGTTTGTATCCAGCTATCGTAGAGTGCGGTCGTGCCGCCACAGTTTTCTGCGATGAGTACAATGTCTTTAAAAACAGTGGCACTATGCCTCTCTAATTGAAATTAACGCTGAACCGCTTACGCGTTCCGAGATTCAGCGGTGAATAGGACAGCCACCTTGCAACTTGCAGACTTCTTGAAACGGGAAAGGGTTAAACGCTTGATGTGCAAACCACTAAGCTCACGCTCCTCATCTTCATCCACCCATAAACTATTTAATAAACATTGACGACACAAAACAGACGGCTATGATCACACATACACACATACGTACGTTAGAGGGGGAAACTCACAGAAAGTACATCTACAAACGCATAAAGAGACGTTTAACCCCTCCTGCCAGATCCCCAGGGCATCCGTGCAACTTGGAAGGAGTGGCGACAACAGTAGAAGCACGATTCCCCAAATGTGCCCCCCCGCATAAAGCGCACTGGCCTTGCTCTTCCTTCCGTCCTCACCCTTGCACGTGCCTCTCCCTTCCTGCCAGGAAACGCAGCTCGAAAAGGTTTTTCTGCGCGAGACGTTTTGTTCTTGCGTGAACGTTGGCTTGCTTCGTGTTTTTTTTGGTCAAACATTTGGGCACATTGCTTCCCCGTCCTACAGTTTTTTTTACCGTATTCTCCGGATAATGAGACGCTCCAGGAAAAGTAAAAAACGAAAAAAACTCTGGGTTAATTAAAAAAAGTGCGTGTTATAATCTGGAGATTAGTATACACAATGGAGAGCCGTCTTCCAGAAGATAATCATGAACGCGCTGCTTCAACACGGAAGAGAGATGTTAAGTCAGTTCACCGCTGAGCCAGTTATAATAACACAGTAAACGGATCTATTCTTACTACAGGCAGCCCAGTAATTTCTGTACAGCGTTGTAATGATGTGAACAGGTTGCTGTACACCAGAGGACATTAATGAACCTGTCACGTGATTCACAAGAGAAGACCCCGTCACGGCCTACTGATAAAATGCAGCAAATACAAGGCGGTCCCCAAAAGCTAATTTCAACTACCACACTGAGGGATTTCAAGCTCAGTGTGCCAACTACACGGCCGCATCCGTACAGGGCTTAACCGTGTTGTTGGACCAGATGGTTTGTGTGAGAACTGGTCATCTCGCCATCGGAAAGGTGTTCCCGTTCAAACAATTATCAAAGGTCAAATCAGTTCCATCATCCTTCTGCGGTCGAATAAATTAGTACAGCGAAGTGCGACGTCAACTTTGATCACAGCATGGAGATTGTGATTTTTCCACCTTCTGGTTCAGGGTCGCCAACGTTTCGATCCAAAG